CAATCCAAAAACCTGAAAATCACCTGATTCCCTCCTCCCTTATTTCCTTCTAATTCATTGAGTCTTCCAGACTTTACCTTCAAAGTATATCTTAATCTGTTTACTTTTCTTTATCTCTACCACACCACTCTATTTGAAGATATCATCTCTCACCTGTATTACGTCAATAATCTTCCAATTGGTCATCTCCCTGTTACCCATACCATCACCCAATTCATTCTCTACATAACATCAGGAATGATTTTTTAAAATAAAAAATGGGATTTTGGCATTCCATACTTAAAATCTTTCAATGGCTTCTACCACATTCAGAATAAAATTCAAACCCCTTAGTATGGCCCTACTCAAAAGCTCCAGCCTACTTCAACATCATCTCTTGCTACTTTCCCCCTTACTCATTGTGCTCCAGCTGCATTAGCATTTGTGCATTTCCTAGCTTCTTCCCACCTTAGAGCCTTTTTGAATCCGTTCCTTACTTTGAATGCTCTTCCTTTCAATCTTTGCATGACTGGCTCTTTATTCCATCTTTCCGGGCTCAGCTTCTCATCTCCTGAGAGAGGTAAGCCACCCAATCGAAAACAGCCTCAATATTTTTCTTTGCAGCAATTTATAATCATATATTTATCTACATTTACAGTGGTCTCATCCAGTAAGTAAACATCATGAGAGCGAAGCTAGCACTGTGTCTGCTTTGTTCATCGTGTAGTGCCAGAGCAACGTGACACATAGTTAGTGCTTCATAATATTTGCTGAGTGAATGCAGACATCCATTCTAACACACATTCAAGGTACTACCCCAATGAGCTCACAAGGAGGCAGAAAAGGTGTGTTTTTTAAAAAAGAAAAAAAAGTGACACTGAACTTGTGGGAAGAAACTTGGGACCTACTGCAACCTGCTTTAGCAAGTCACACTCAGAATGCTCTCAACTTACCAAACCAGGGAGTAGTTTTACTTAATGTCTAATGTACTTTCCAGCTTGAAGAAAGTTTAGCCATTTCCAGGAGGCCTCTGAACACCTGAGGCTACACCAGGAATCTTCTGACCGGCTGGCTACACCTCATACTATAGTTACCAGTGCCACCTGCCGGTCAAAGCCTTTTTCATGTTTCTGGGAAAAGATCGCGTAACTGAAGTAGGAGTTGCTATTAGTGCACTTGACATGTATAACTAACTTAACGCTCACTATGGGGTTATTTTTTTTCCGATAAATACTATTATCACCCTCATTTTACAAAGAAGAAAACAGGGTAGGTCAAGATGTGAACCCCTATCAGCCTCCAGAGCCCAATGCTTTGAACCTTTCTACTGGTCTAAACTACACGAAACTCCATAAAGTGTTTAAATCCCGACAGCCTAGAAACTGGGGAAAAGGGCTTTTAATCTACTTTGTTCAGAGACATCTGTTCACAAATAGGGCCCTCGATGGGGTCAGAATGGCCAGGGACGGGGCGTTGCAGTTGGGAGAGCTGCGACCCTTCAAGCAAGAGCTGAGCGGACGTGCGGGGACGGAGGGCGCCCGCTCCCCCGGCAGAGCCGTCCCCACGGAGGGCGGCCAGCACCGCTGCTCCCCGCCTCCCGGCGCGGCGCGTGGGGTCAGTGAAGACCCTCTGTCCAGCGGGACGCAGACTCAGAGCGGCCGGGCCGGGGAGGTGCGGGGGCCGCGCTGAAGAGGGACCGGGGCAGGTGGCGTGGAGTCGGGTCCAATGCGAGGGTAGGAGCCGGCGGGCCCCGAGGCGCACGGCCAGAGGCGGGCGGGCCAGGGTCTCCGCGGAGGTCACGCTCCCCCCGCGGCCAGCAGCCGCCGAGTCCCGGGCTGTGTCTCTGCTCTCAGGGCCCCAGACCGGCGAGGAGACCAACCTGCGGGGGAGCCCAGGTCAGGGGTCAGCGGCGAGCCGGGCGGGCCTTCTGAAGGGCTGCGGGGCTCCGCGGGCTGCGGACGGCGGCTGTGAAGGGCCAATAGTCCTGGCCGCGGGGCACGCAGCCCATGCGCGCTGCGAAGCGGGAAGCTGAGAACCGGGCCGGCCCACCCACCGAGAGGATGTAATAGGACGATAGCTTTTAATGGGCCCCCCTCACCTGGCCTGATTGCCCAGTTCTGCCACAGGGGGTCAGATCCGACCACCAGGAAGTTCTGATATTCAATTTGAGCGAGGCCTGGAGCCAGCTCTAAAAAGGGAAAACACTTAATTCATTACCTACTTAAGTCGAGAAGACTGGGCCTCAGTAGAACCTAATTGAACAGGCAAAAAGCAATCGAGGCCATAATTAGCTGTGACACACGCAGCCCAGCAACTGGTGCCGAAAACTATTGGTTGATAAAGGCTATAGGTGTGCAGAGAGCCAGGTACTGTAAACCAGGGGCTTCCTTTCCTGGAAGCTTTCCGGGACATGAGACAGGCGTATACCTTGGAGTTGCCCCATAGGTAATGTCTCAGCAAGGATGAAAGAAGCTAAATGGGCAAACTTTTTGACTCGAGGGCCACAATGGGTTCTTAAACTGGACCGGAGGGCCAGAACAAAAGCATGGATGGAGTATTTGTGTGAACGAATATAAATTCAAAGAAACATCATTACATAAAAGGGTACGGTCTTTTTTTTTAGTTTCATTCATTTCAAACGCGGCCCGCGGGCCATAGTTTGCCCACGGCTGAGCTAGAAGTTGGGGGAGTAGGCTGGTTACAGACTGAGAAATACCAATTCAACTCAAATAGGGAGTTATTGAAAATTGTGGGTAGGGATGCAATAAGATATAGATTGTATTTTGAGACGAGCAATATGGATCCACTCAGGGAGGTAGAATAGAGGGCTGGAGGCATGAACTCAAATTAGGAGACTAATAGGACCTAGGTATCAGGTGATGAAAGCCTGGATTAATACAGTGGCAATGTTTGTAAAGCAAAATTGGACACGCTTTTGTGACTGATAAAGGAGTTGGAGATGAAAAGATCATATATTTCTTATGCTCATTGAGGGAATTATGGCATTTCCAAATAAAAATGTCCTGTAGGCAGCTGAAAATCTTTTATCTAAAATTATTTGATTAAAAACTTCCATTTAAGCCAGTGGTTCTCAACCTTCTGGCTCTTTAAATACAGTTCCTCATGTTGTGACCCAACCATAAAATTATTTTCGTTGCTACTTCATAACTGTAATGTTGCTACTGTTATGAATCGTAATGTAAATATCTGATATGCTGGATGGTCTTAGGCGACCGCTGTGAAAGGGTCGTTCGACCGCCAAAGGGGTCATGACCCACAGGTTGAGAACCGTTGATTTAAGCCCTAACTGGTTTTGCTCAGTGGATAGAGAGTCAGCCTGCGGACTGAGGGGTCCAGGGTTTGATTCTGGTCAAGGGCATGTACCTTGGTTGCGGGCATATCCCCAGTAGGGAGTGTACAGGAGGCAGCTGATCGATGTTTCTCTCTCATTGATGTTTCTAACTATCCCTCTCCCCTCCTCTCTGTAAAAAATCAATAAAATATATTTTTAAAAAAGACAAAAGCTTTAAAAAAAAAACAAACAAACTTCCATTTAATGCATAAATCCCACTGTATTCCTGCTTGATAGCCTCCAAAGATGGTGACCGGGTTATCTTATGGCAGCCCCCACGTCATTGTGACACAATCCTAGATTTCCTTTCATGTGGACTTGGAAGTTTCCAATTCAGGACAGAAGACAATTTAGGGCATTGTCTGTGCCTGCCCATTCCTTGTACTATTTCTTCAATTTAGCACCACAACAGTGGATGAGACCTGAGGAAAGTAAACAGGATTGATAACTGAACCACAGGCAATACCTCAAATTGGGGAATGAGGCAGAAATGTTACTGATTAAGTTCTCTGAAAGAAATCTGAACCAAAGGCATAAGATCAGTGTCAAGCAGGATTTTTTTTTAAGTGTACTCTTCCCTAATTCTTTTCACTTTGTTTAACTGTGTCTCCTCTTCTAGGTAACTACTTAAAGAAAATTATTTTGTCTTGTTTTAACTTTATATCCCCAGGGCCTATCAGTGTCTGTTATATATGAGGCACACAGATGTTAAATGATGAGCAATGCTCTAAAGCAGCGGTTGCCAACCGGTGGTCCGCAGACCACTGGTGGTCCGTGAGGTCCAAAAGGTTGGTGACCACTGCTCTAAAGGACAGAGAATGAAGACAGAAAAAGACAGTGGAGATTTTCAAAGAAAGGCATTTCATGAGAAGTACTCCCTGATCTCATAAAAGTCATTCACTGCCTGGACAACCATTAAAGGACCCCTTTTTTAACTTGAATAGACTTGCTTCTATAGGTTTGTTGAATGTATGCTTTTTCAATGGGTCAGATTTTCGGCAATATTATTGTAATTTAAGAAGATGTCTCCAAAGGAAGAAAAGAACATAAGTTGGTTCACTTAAAAACAGATACACTGAGATAGACTCTCAAAAACATGGTTTTCCTCTTTCTAAGGCTATATAGGCGCTTGGATGAATTATTAAGGCAACAAAAGCCACAGGTTCAGTAGTAACTCACTGAACTGTCCTCTAATTCGTAAATATAGGTAATGCTAGCTTATAAGCTAGGATTCAGAAGTTGCTTTGGAAGGAGACATACGTATTTATGTAACAGAAGTAAAATTAAGAGGCAGTCATAGCCCTAGGCCAGTCCAAAAACACTACCTATTTGTCCTATAATATACTTACAACATGTTAGAATGCCATTTTTTTTGTTAGCTAACCATTATTATTAAAAAGGTCTTTTAATGGGACATAATTCTTGTTCCAACTTGGGAAGTTAGGAATGTCCTTCTTCCTCAACCCTGTAAAGAAGAAGCTACCCTTAGCACCTGCTGTACAAATGAAACCCTCACTACTTTCACAGTCCCAGCGACGACAAATTAACATCTTCTTGTGCTTAACTCCCCCCACCCTCCCAATCTCTGGGGGGAGGGGAGGGGAGACAGCAGGCAGAAGAAAGAGAGGTTCCTCGGGCAGTGGCCGATCCTGGGGAAATGAGGCACAGATACCACAGGACTGTTTAATCAGGGATTTCATTAAGGTTAAATCTCTAGGAATGAGGAAGTCAGTTAGTGGGCACGAAGCCCATGAAGCCTCCTCAGATTTCGTAGTGAACCACAGGCTCAGGCTCTTTGGTGGGATCACCGCCACGTTCCAGGTACAGGTTATTGTAAGGATACTGCTTTGGCCCCTAAGGAAAAAACACAGGTCAGCAAGAACATACATCAGCCAGTACCTGGCTACATCCCACTCTGAGTTTAATGGTCATGCATAGTAAATGGGTATGTGGTAGCCTCTGGTCAGACCCAGCTGGGCTAGAATGGCAGGAAGAGCACTCCTCTCCCTGCTCAGCCCAAGGCAGAGAGAAAGCCTAGACTGTAAGAGACATGGTGCCTACACTGTGTGTGTGTGTGTGTGTGAGAGAGAGAGAGAGAGAGAGAGAGAGAGAGAGAGAGAGAGAGAGAGAATGAATGAGAATGAGGGAGAGCACCAGGGAACGCTTTCTAAATGAGACGATGCATCCATCCATCCCACTCTCTCGGGGTCGAGACAGACTCAATCTCCTTTAAGTCACTCAGCCTCTAATGGTTCCACCACTAAAGTGGCCGAGCAAATGAGGCGTGCAGGAGCAGCAGTGAGGGAAAGCACAGAGGAGACACGGCTGGGACGTGCTTTAGGGGCTGCTGGCTTTACCAACAAACAGCTGTCAGAGAACACAGCTCAAGGGGAGGAGAAAAGGGTGATGTGCTTACAGAACTGAAAAATGGCAGAGCCACACTGTGTTTCTTGCTCTCCTGAAGTGAAGTTAGTGCTCACACCAGCCCTGCGTGCACTCTCCAGCCTGGGGCCCCTGGGGCTTGGTAGGAAGGCTCGTGTCAGTGCACACAGACATACCAGCTACCATCAGGACATTGATTATCTCTGCAAAGGTAGCACTGAGCAGCCAACTGCAAACACAGCAGCTTCCCTGCTTTCCGTTCCTTTCCTTACAATCTAGCCTGCAGTTCAGCGGTCGCCAACCAGTGGTCCGTGAGGTCAGAGAGGTTGGTGACCGCTGCTGCAGACTACTCCCAGATAATCGTCCTAAAACCCAGCTTTCATTATGTTATTCTTCTGTTCAAAAACTCAACATGGCTTCCGGTTGCCTAGAGCAGTGGTTCTCAACCTGAGGGTTGCAACCCCTTTGGCGGCCAAACGACCCTTTCACAGGGGTCGCCTAAGACCATCCTGCATATCAGATATTTACATTATGATTCATAACAGTAGCAATATTACAGTTATGAAGTAGCAACGAAAATAATTTTATGGTTGGGTCACAACATGAGGAACTGTATTTAAAGGGCCAGAAGGTTGAGAACCACTGGCCTAGAGGCAGACCAAGTCATCCCTGTATCCCCAAACCCTAGCAAGGTCTGGACTGGTACACAACTGGGGCTTCATAAATATTTGTTGAAATAATGTGTTACTACACCATCAAGTCCAAATCCCTTAGCAATACAGTGAAAGCTGTCCAACGTAAACTGACCAGCTCACCTCACAATCATTTTTAACAGAGCAATTTCCACATCTGATTTCCCAGGACATCAGGATTACCTGGGGACTTGTTAAATATTGATTCTAGAATCCCACTGTGGAGCTACTGAATTAGGCTTTCCAGGAAGTGGAGCCCAGGACTCTGAGTTTTTAGCAGCTCTCAAGGTAACCAATGCAGCCAGTTATCTAGGAATTATTTTATATGCCTGCGCCACTCCAGCTAACTCTCTCCTTGTCCTTCCGTTTTCTCTTGCCCCAAACGTTCTCTCCAACTTCTCCCTGCCACCCCAAGTGTATATATATTTTTTGCATCTAGTTTAGCCCTTCTTAACAGCACCTCATATCCATTAGTACAAACATTCACTACGCACATATATATACAGAAAATCTGCCAAATTCCTGTATTTGTTCAAATGTTGCTCATTTGAATTTTCTTATTATTCAAATTCAACTTCATTAAAGCTAGATAGTATTTTTTCTTTTACATTCTCCAAAATATAACTGTCTATGCTTATAGTAGACATTTAACTGCTTCCAATACCTCATAGGAGGTGCCCTTCACACTTTCAAAAAGGATAAGGCTTCAACGCCAGATTCCATGACTCTACCTTAGAGTGAATAGCTTGAGGAAATATAATTGGTAAGTACAGTCCCCAAATGGCAACTCTAGAGACTAGCTGGCTTCCATATTCTCTTTCCTCACAGAGTCCTAAAGTGTTTTCTCACTCAGACTGATCCAAGATGTAGGACGGAGCAGTGCTCTGGTACTTGTGCCACGCCCATGTGCAAGGCCCTCCACAGGCGGTCCCTACTCCAGAGACTTCATTCCCCCAGGAAGCAGGGCTAAGTAAATGTGCATAAGAAAGCACTCTTCAGATACTCACCACTGGCTGGTAGGAGGGATAAGTCTCCCCCACCCAAAACATGAACAGCATGAAGGCCACGAAGCCGAAGAGGTGCTTACACATGACATCCCAAGAAACAGGTGTGGGGGACGTGTCCACACGGTTCCTGATATACATATCTAGGTCCCAGTGAAGCTAAGGCAGAAAGACAGGTGAAGGTCACATACCGCTCTTCCTACAAAAGCAGGCAGTCCAGAGTGGGCAGAGCCTGACACAGGGCTTGACAAAGGCATCCTACTGCCCTGAACAATACTCTGAGAGCCAAGTTTGAGATGCTGGTTTCTGGGTAGTTTCCGTTGACCAGAGACAGCTCAATCATGGAAATTTACAGAGCTTGTTAATTTCCAGAAGTCACATTCCACATGCCACACATGGAACATCAGATCTCAGATTCATGGACTTGGCTTCTTTGGGCAGTAAACCTTAGTGTTATTTGGACAGAGAAATGTTATTTGAACTATAAAAAATAAAAATAAAAAATCCCAGGAATACATTAGGGAGAAGGAAGAAAGGTTAAACGGGATATAGTTCTCTCACCGGTTCACCCCAGTTCAATCGCAGGTCTGAGTGGTCCCAGTCATACCATGGATCCCTCTCATGCTGTGAGCGGTCAGGGAGCTTTGGGTAGTCGCCATACCTGAGAGACAACAAGAGTTCTGGAAAGGGCTCTGAGCAACGTCTCTCAGATAATTCAGAGTATCCTCATCTCAAAGATAAGAAACCAACTGACAGAAATAACTGTCTCACCTAAGGACAGAGGAACTGACTTTCAAATCAAGATCTCAATTTTTAGTCACTAAGCAAAGAACTAACCAAAGAAGCCCAGATTGTAATGAAAAGTTCATCAGCCCGACGGGTATGGCTCAGTGATCGAGTGTTGACCTATGAACCAGGAGATCACAGTTGGATTCCCAGTCAGGGCACATGCCTGGGTTTCTGTCCCTATCCCCAGTGTGGGCGTGCGGGAGGCAGCCCATCAGTGGTTCTCTCTCATCACTGATGTTTCTCTCTCTCTCTCCCCTTCCTTCCTCTCTGAAATCAATAAAAATATATATTTTTTTAAAAAAAGTTCAAATGAAACTCTGAAATATTATAACACCGTAAGCTTTTCTCACCTTCTTTCAACAAAAAGAAAAAAGTCCCATAATGTTATAATGCTAGGCCTGGAAGGCGTTATCAGTCACTCTGATTTCTTCATGAGCAGAAAATGAAACTGAAGTATGGGGTCTAAACCCGTGACTAATTGGAGTAAAAACAAAAAGGGTACAGATTAGAAAAGTATTATTTTCATAGCATTTTCCTCAACCAAGTTGGCATACATCTTCATGTTCCAAACACCTCAAGGGACTTCTTGCCAAGTTAGGTTTCCCTCCAACCAATCCAGGTTCAACTTATACAGACGGCTGTCAAGGCTGCTCTTGTCCACAACACAATCAAAGACACAGGAAATGATGACAACTAGACATACACTACAAAAAGCGATTGGAAAACAACAAGACGAATAGGAGCTGCTGAAGTCACACTGCAAGAGTGATGCTAGGATAGAAAATGAGGGTGCTGGCAATCACTTCAGATAATTAACCCGAGAGATGTGAGATGGGCGGTAGCTATGAGGACAGGAGAGGAGGAGGAGGGAGTAGCATTAATTGGAGCAAGGGAATTGGCTATTTAATCTGCTCTGCAGTTGCTAGGATTTCCACAGCCCCAACGGCAATGATAGCGGGTTTTTGTTTTTTTTTTAAAGAGAGATATACACACATATAAGAGTACTCCATCTACGAATAAGGTTCTCAAGACAGGAGTCCAGGTCCAGCCCGGTCACGTGCCTGCATGACAGCACCTGAGCCCAGCAGATGCTCCATCCAAATGAAACCCTGCGCTCTGGATGGAGCCAAGGAAGATTCCCGCTATTCACGGGTCCTCGGGGAGCTATTACCACCTCGCTTCCTCATTTGAGGAAATAACCCGAGCCAAGGAGAAAATTGAAGTCCTCCCGGCTGCAGCTGCTCACCCCCACCCCCTCCCTCCTCCCTCCTCCCTCCACCGAGAAAAGCACCCACACCACTGACTCGGAGGGGTCACGGGAAGGCTGGGGGGCGGGGGAGAGGGTCAGAGTCGAGCCGCCTAACCCAGCCGCCTTCTCCCATCGCTACCCAAGTGCGCGCAGACCCCCTCTCTCTCACCCCATGCCATCATCCGGGTACGGCTCGTAGTCTTCCACCCGCAGGTTATACTTCTTGGCGGCGGCGGCCCGCTCTTCTGGGGTCCTGGGGTAGGGCCCCGGGAGCATGTCCTTGGTGATGTGGGAGGCTAGAGGGCAGGCGAGGGCAGGTCAGAGGGCACCCCGTTCCGCCTGCCTCCCCGACGATTTCAAGCGGCAGCGGCAGCGGAGGCCGGAGCCCGAGTCTTCCAGGGACCAGCGAGACCCTCCACCCGCTCTTCTGGAAACGCGAGCTCCACCTCCGCCCCCAGCCCCGACACGGCCGCCGCGGTACCCACGATACCCACGTCCCCCCCAACACACCAACCCTCAGGCACCCCCTTCCCACACGGAGGCCTCGCCCTTTCTCGCGGACCTGTCCGTGCACCCAGCGGTACCACGGTCCGGCCTGCCCTTTGCAGCCATCGGACTCCCAGAACCCCCGCCCTGGCCGCCGCCATCTTGACCTTCTTGAGGTTTCACTCCGCACATGCGCAAAGGCCTGTCACGGCGGCTGAGCTGGGCCAAAAGGCGTGGAGGCGGCAGGTAGCGAAGACACGTCCTAAGGGTTCAACAAGGGTGGGGCGTGGAGGGTGTTGAGAAGCAGAGGCGGGATGTGCAGAGGGACAGAGGCTGAGAGGGAACGCTGGAAGGGGAGAAAACCAAGCAGGTCATTGCTTCCATATTTCAGATTGCTGTGTCTCTTTTTCTCCCCACGTTACCTTAGACGCATCCAAGGATAATGAGGACTCAGGACCTGAGCATCTCATGTGGACAGCTGACCCCCTCCAGCAAGAGCAGCACAAGTGAAGTGAGCCCGGGTTCATCTCTGACGGCTTGCCTTTTCCTCTCCTTTACTGGCACTTGCTCCGTCCATCCCCAAACGTGATCATTCTTCAAATTCAGCCCTTGGTCCTACTTGTTTTTGTTGTTTTCCAAATTGGTGGGTATCTTTCAGCTGATGTGCGGTGCAACAGGTAAATCTGCCTCGAATTGGTTCCTCATTTTCAGTCCTGTTAACTTAGGATTGTCCCAGTCACCTCTACCCAACAAATGTAAAACCAATGCTGTCATCACCAGAGGCAGCTTTTAGGAGCCCGCATAAAGGCTCAGATTTGCCAGGATTTAGATAATTACATTACTAACACAATTAACAAGCATTAGAAGAATGGGGAGGGAAGGCATTATTATATTTGCATATGAATATGTTTTCATTTTATTTAAACAAGTGGAATTTGCATAGTTTACACCAAGCATGTCAAACTCAAAGGCTAACACAGGCCAACTAAACAAGGTTTAAGTTTATGTGGGCCGCAAAAAAAACAAAAGCTTCAATTTTCATAGAAACGTAGGTTTATTTTGATAGAGACATGCTGAATACAAAGGGCTGAAATAAATGAGTAATCATTAACATAAAATAATAAATCATTTTAATAAAAATTAATAGTTTTTCTTGAACATTAACTTACCAGACACTGAATAACTGCACCAATTAATAAGCGTAACGCAAATAAACCTATTTTTCTTGTCTCCGAAAGCAAAATATTTCTTGTTGTGCACACTAAACAGGTCAGTCCAAGACTAATGACGTGGCAATTGGCTGCTAAAACATTCTCTGCTAGTATTAGTGGAGAGAAATGGTGCACCTGCACATAAGGCGCATAAGGGAAATGAATGCAACACTAATATAGTAATCAGTCATTAGTGAACCTTGTAGTTCATTATTAAAAATTATGTAAACACGAATATTGTAAAAATTAAGTTATGAAATTTTTATGGCCCTCGGGCCGCGAGTTTGACATGCTTGGTTTACACAGTGTAAATATGCACATATTTTCAGAAACTTTTAGGGTGATCACTGTTTTGGAGCAGAATTCATTATTATAGACATTCTCATATATCAGAGCAATAAAAACTGATATATACTATTTGGTATATAAATTTTGGAAAGGACTACATCACAGCAACTTGCCCTTCCTATATAATAAAGCCTAATATGCAAATCGACTGAACAGCCAAATGATGCGTACTGACCACCAGGGGGCAGATGCTCAACACAGGAGCTGCCCCCAACCCGCAGGCTCCAGGCCAGCCAAGGTGGGGAGGGGGGCGGGGGGGCGCCCTGCTGGTCACCCCCTAGACCTGCCAGGCCTAGGGACCCTACCTGTGCACAAATTTTGTGCAATGGGCCTCTAGTCCTATATAATAAAACCCTAATATGCAAATTGACTGAACAGCAGAACAACCTGTTACTATGACACACACTAACCACCAGGGGCAGACGCTCAATGCAGGAGCTGCCTCCTGGTGGTCAGTGCACTCCCTCAGGAGGAGCGCCGCTCAACCAGAAGCCGAGCTCATGGCTGGCAAACACATTAGGGGTGGCGGGAGCCTCTCCCACCTCTGCGGCAGCGCTAAGGACCCCTTGGGGGACGTCTGCTGAGGGGTTCCAAATTGTGAAAGGGCTCAGGCCGGCTGTGGGAACCCCTCCTCCCTCCTAGTGCATGAATGTCGTGCACCGGGCCTCTAGTTAGTAAATAAGCATCAGTAGTTGATGTTCAGGATAATTGGACACCATCTGTAGTCAATTGATCCAATTTGGGTCAAAAAACAGAGTTGGTCTAATTTATTTTTAAGATTTAATTTAAATACCATAAATTCCCCCTTTTAAAGTATATAATAAAGTTAATTTTTAGTATATTTACAAAGTTGTGCAATTATCACCACTAACTCTAAAAAATTTTATCACCCCAAAAGGAAATCCCATACCATTAGCACATCCTGCCGCCCGCCCCCCCCCCCCCCCGACCCTCCCCTCGCCACAACTACTAATCTATTCTCTGCCTCTGTGGATTTGCCTATTCTGGACATTTTGTATAAATGGAATCATAATATGTGGCCTTTTGTGTCACATTTCATTTATAATGTTTTCCAGGTTTGTCCATGTTGTAGCATGTGTCAGTTCTTCATTCATTTTTATGGCTAAATAATACTTCATTATATGAATATATAACATTTTGTTTATACATTCATCAGTTGATGGGTATTTGGATTATTTCTACTTTTGACTATGATGAATAATGTTTCTGTTAACATTCTTGTATAAGTTTTTGTGTGAATGTACGTTTTCAGTTCTCTTGTAGTATTAGTAAAATGTCTGGGTCATAGGGTAACTCTATGTTTAATTTCTGCAGAACTACAAAACTATTTTTCAAAGAAGCACTATTTTATATGTCTGCTAGCAATATATGAGGGTTCTAATTTCTCCAAATTTTCAACACTTGTCACTGTCTGTCTTTTTTATTATCACTATCCTAGTGGATATGAGTTGTATCTCATTGTAGTGTGTATTTTTTTATTCCTTTCCCAAGGGTTTGTTTTATTGATTTTTAGAGAGGGAAAGAGAGAAACATTGATTCGTTGCTTCCTGAACGTGCCTTTCTCAACTCCTAGAATCTATCTGTCATTCTCTGCCACATATAGTTTGTTTCTTAAAGGCCAACAGGACATCATCTGCCGGGAGCCGGTCCATCCTTGCTGTTTCAAGGGACCTGGCATATATGGCATACTGTTCTTAATATGTTTGCTCACCTTCTTGGCACTGTGTGTTTTAACCAAGGTCTCTGAGAAAGGTTGTTTCCCCAGGTAGGGATTTTCCCCTGAAGTTAGGGAGGGAATAAAACCTCTTAACTAAGTGCCAGGCGGGTAATTAATCACTTTAACTACGAACAATCATGCTTAAGCTACATAATCTTTACGCCCTGGAATGGAGATAAGAAACGCCCTAACCTTTGGAATAGAGATTGATAGGATTGGAATCAACTAGTATAAATACAGATGTAACAAGACAGCAAGAGACAGAACTTAGAAGACAGGACTTAGAAGACAGAACCTACACAGAACCTAGAGACAGAAGAACTTCGCTGGAGAGAACATGGCAAAAGATCCTGGACAGAAACTGGCAACAGAACCTAGAGACAGAACCTAGCGAGAGAACCTGGCTGAAGAACCTAGAGACAGAACCTGGCTACAGAACCTGGATAGAACATGGCAAGAGAACCTGACTAGAACCTGGTGACTGAACCTGGCTGGAGAACCTGGACAGAACCTGGCTGGAGAACCTAGTGAGGGAACATGGCTACAGAACCTGGCTGGAGAACCTAGCAAGAGAACATGGACACAGAACCTGGCTGGAGATCCTAACCAGAACTTCGCTGGAGATCCAGACCAGAACTTGGCTGGAGATCCTGGCTAGAGATCCTGGCTAGGCTGCTGATCAACTGAATGCTGTCTCCGTGTCATTCCTTCTTCGCCGACTCCATCCACACCTTTGGGGACCCCTGGACCTGCTGGGGTTGGACCCCGGCAATCATCTGTACCTTCAAATCTCTCTAACTTCTGTCTCTGCCTTCTAGACTCAGATTTAAAGAGCTAGAGTGATTAGGTCAGGCCAACTCAGGGTAAATCTCTCCTTTGCTGAACTCAAAGTGAACTGATTAGGGACATTAATTATATTTTTGCTATATAACCTCATTGCCAGAGTGATAGCCTATATAGTCATAAGTCCTGTTCTTCTTCAAGGGGAGAGACTTATTATATAGGGCATGTAACCCATGGGATGGAAATCTCTGGATCTATCTTAGAATTTGACCTCCAACAGCCAGCCATAAGAACTAAGTAAGTAATAGATGTCATTGATAGGGCCTTTAATAATCAATATAAATTGTTTGAATATGTGGGATGCTCATGCTTGACTATAACATTGGTCCCATAGCAAAAATACCTTCAAGTAGGAGAGATGGTGATACAAGTAGAAAAATCTGCCGAAACCGGTTTGGCTCAGTGGATAGAGCGTCGGCCTGCGGACTGAAAGGTCCCAGGTTCGATTCCGGTCAAGGGCATGTACCTTGGTTGCGGGCACATCCCCAGTGGGGAGTGTGCAGGAGGCAGCTGGTCGATGTTTCTCTCTCATCGATGTTTCTAACTCTCTGTCTCTCTCCTTTCCTCTCTGTAAAAACTCAATAAAATATATTAAAAAAATAATAATAATAATTTAAAAAAACAAGTAGAAAAATCAAATGATGCCAAACAAACAAACAAACAAGCAACCCCGTCTGTGCTTTTAAAAGAATTCAACTTGCCATATATCTTTTGCAAAGGCCTTCAAAGAAACCTTTGCCCACATCCTGCACCCCCCGCGCCCCCATCCTCCCCTCTCCACAGCATCTATCAATCTGACAACTGCTTTTCCTTCTGACTTCCTTAGGTAGGTCTATCATTTGCTTTTCTCCTCGCTAAACTTGCCTCCTTCTTTGCCTGTTGTGTAGGCCTGGGCACACTGAGGCCGCAATACTCTTTTGTGAATTGGTTAACCTGGTTAGCAACGCTCATCAGTGGGACTCACGTCTAGCCCAGGTCTTCAGGGGCGGAGCCTAGGGTGTAGCGCTGTTGGTCACCAATAGGAGGCGCTCCCCCACGTCTTGGCTCCGCGTTTTTGTTTTTGTTTTTGTGCTTCAGGGCCGCTCTTTCTCGCAGCCCATCTCTATGGTTTCCGTTGTGTTTTCTCCGGAATAGGCGGAGCTTCCGGTTCCGGCGGGGCCGTCCCTAGCGGCGGAAATGGCGGCTACAGCGGCGGAGGCCGCGGCCTCAGGCTCTGGAGGACCCCGGGAAGAGGCTGAGGCTCCCGGCCCCGCCTGGACTGAGTCCCAGCTGCGAAGTTACAGCTTCCCGACGCGGCCCATCCCGCGTCTGAGCCAGAGCGACCCCCGGGCGGAGGAGTTCATCGAGAATGAGGTAGGGGGCGGGGCCGTGTCCCCTGCGGGGGCGGGGGAGGGAGCAGGTTGGGTGGAGAGGTCAAAGGCGGGCGACGACGGAGGTGGGACCTGGCGGGGCGGTGGACTGGGGCCTGAGGGGCGCTGGAGAGGGCGGCCAGGAGAAACGGGACTTGAGGGGTTCGTGTTGGCTAGCAGACGGGGTTACTCGGAAGTTGGGAAGTAGCTGGAATGACGGAACCAGAGCCCACCAGTCCTCGGGGTGACTTCCTTTGTGCTGCTTCACCTGATGTTTTCCCTCAGGAGCCTGTGGTGCTGACCGACACGAATCTCGTGTATCCTGCCCTGAAATGGGACCTGGACTACTTGCAAGAGAACATTGGCCACGGAGACTTCTCCGTGTACAGCGCCAGCACCCACAAGTTCCTGTACTACGACGAGAAGAAGATGGCCAATTTCCAGAACTTCAAGCCAAGGTCCAACCGGGAGGAGATGAAGTTCCATGAGTTTGTTGAGAAACTGCAGGACATCCAGCAGCGGGGCGGCGGGGAGAGGTACGGTCCCGGGGGTGGGTTCCTGTGGGCCCGGAGGCGCTCGTGTGAGGAGCCGGAGGAGCCGGGTGCGTTCTCAGCGGAGGGATGAGAGGGGGACGACCCGTGCACTGTGGTCCTCTAGTTCTTTGGCAGCTTCGTTAAGTGAGGGTCACCGTTGCCTGCCAGGGCCCGGTAGGTGAACAAAAATGAAGTCGTTTTGGTAAAAACCACCGTGAGGCGAAATGTATACACCCCGTTCCAAGTCAGGAGTCGCGGCTTGACTTGTATCCATTTGGGAGTTCCGTTTCAGGATTGCCAGATATTCAGGCTTTTCAAGAGAAGCCAGAAATGGAGGATTTTTACTTAAGATCTTTTTACTTAAATGTGCACGGCTAGTTCACCTTTTTAAAGATGCTGCGAGGAGCCGAACAGAAATGTCTGTTGTTGGATTTGGCCTTGAGATTACCCGTTTGCAGGCTAATGGCTGGGGATAGTTAAGGCCGAAGAGTTACATAAATGTTGAGATTCTGGGGTGAAGGATATTAGGGTCCTCTAGCTTTGGGGAGGGCAGATGAGGTTGGGGGAGGGGCGGATATTGATGTGCCAGGTGGTGCTGGCAATAGCAAAGGCACCACACAAAGAAGTGTTTCCTTCTTTCTGCTTTCATGCCTGTGTACGAGGACAGCCTCTTGGGTAGGTCCCAGACATTGCGTCTGGGGAATTGCTTTCACTAAGCTCATGGCCAACCACCCTCTCCAGCTCACCTTGGTGCCCCGTCTTAACCTTCCTGCCTCAGTTCTCTTTCTTACTCCCTGTTAGCAGTATGTGGCCGAGTGAATGAATTTGAAATATCTTTTTTCCATCTTCCTGACACTTAGCAGTTACACAATGAGAGGACTTCGACTAAAAGAGTTTCCAGAGTCTGAACTATGATTGATGTGTTATTTTTGTCTTATAAAGCCTGATTGAGTTGAGTTGTCTTATGCATTAATTTCCTCAAAATTAACAGCGTGTACATGTGAGTGCATATGCATAGACACATCCAACCTTCAGATTGAGAGCTATTTAAATAGCGCTGGTGGAGTGTAATTCCATTTAATGAACATATGGACTAGACTAAGCATGAGATAAAACACAAGAATCCCCTGGTTCCTCATTCACTTTAAGTTTCTTATCCTATAGTGAGAGCATTTCCCCCTCCCTAAGTATGAGCTGTGAGTGTAGTCTCTTCTTTATGGGGGACTCAAGGAAAAATTTTCCTATGAGCAAGTTTTACCCTACCTGCTGACTTGAGCGTCAACCAACTCCACTGCATAATTGTACAGGTTGTTGTGATTCTGGGATGAAGGCTATTAACATCCTCTTGAGCTCTTTTGATATTTACTCTTTAGGTATAATGGAAAATGTTTAGATTCATGTTTCATGAATGGTCCTGCCTCTTTTAAAGTTACTTGTAAAATTTTTGTATGTGTATGTATATTATAATCTCTGGGAAGAGTCCAAAGGTTGCATTTGAGTCATGTCCCCAAAAAGGTAGCTAATGTTTCTAGTTTACTGAGATTTCTAGTTAAAGTGGCCTTAAACATCATGCTTCTAGGGCTAGGCACTGATAGCTTTGAGCCTTTTGAAGTAACATTCTCAGGACCAGGAAAGGACTGCTTCTGTACTTACCTTCCAGCTTGTCCCCTTATTAATGTGTCTTGTGGGCTTGATTACGTGTGTCTGGGTTTTCATATACCTTAAGTAACTTCTGATCTTCCTTAGGGGTGTTAGGAGCCTTGGGCCTGATGAGGCATCTTCCTTCAGATGTAGAAAGCTGCTACAGAGAGGTGGCTGAATCAATTAAGATAAACTAGGCTTCAAGCCAGAGCTCCGCAACTTTATTTCTGACTCACACTACATGTTCATCACAGGTCACCTGGAGTGGGCTGTGCTCTTTTTTGAGAAATATGAAACGCTTCACAAATCTGTGTGTCATCCTTGTGCAGGGGCATGCTAATCTTCTCTGTATCGTTCCAGTTGTAGTGTCCGTGCTGCCTAAGTGAACAGAGGAGGAAGCTCTGCTCTTACATCATCATTTTCGCTTCAGGGCCTGGATTGGCCCAGTAGCTTCTATCTGAAACTTTGCAGTTGCTGTGGCAGAGAGAAAAGATGTGGTGGTAGTGTGTGCTGGTTCTTAAAATTACAGTTTGGAAGCAACACAAGTCACTTCTGTGGACATTTCCTTGGCCAAAGCACATTAAATGATCAAAGCAAGTTAAATGGCTTCAAAGGGGTACAGAAGAATAACACTCCCGCAGGGAAGGAACTGGCTCTTGGTGGACAGTTATATGATTTGTTACGATGGCCATTGAGGGCCAAAGGGATGCCTTGGGCCCTGAGAATCTCTGGAACAAGGGTGATTCATCATTGTAGGCTCTGGATAGACTTTGAGGAATCTATGAAAGAAATTGTATGAAAGTTCTGTGTATGTGCATTTTTCTGGGGAACCTTCCTTGGATTCGTAAAGGATTTATGCTGTGACCCAGAAAAACTTAATCACTTCTTTAAAGTAAGAAATTTGGTGTCCGAAGAAGGATCGTTAAGGATTCAGTTCTGTGAGAATCCATGTTGGTTAAGATTCACATGATAGTGGTTGTTCTGTGGGCGATGATATTGTGGGTTTAGCTTAGAATCCAGATGTGGGGAGGCCATGCCAAGGGACTGTGTGTACATGCACTAATGGGATCTTCTTCTTGGGGAACATAGGTTGTATCTGCAGCAAACACTCAATGACACTGTGGGCAGGAAGATTGTCATGGACTTCTTGGGTTTTAACTGGAACTGGATTAATAAGCAACAGGGAAAGCGTGGCTGGGGGCAGCTGACCTCCAATCTGCTGCTCATCGGCATGGAAGGTAAGAAATCTTTCAGAAAGCAGCATAGCTTGGAGTCATTCAAACCCGGTTCCTAATCCTGTGTCCACTATTTATTCCCTCCTTGACTTTGAACAAGTCACTTAACTTCTGAAGCCTCAGCCACCTCATCTGCAAAAGGACCATGATAGTATTTTATAAGTAGCTGTGAAGGTGAAATAAGATAATTTATGTTGTTTTTAAGATAGTTTCATGCACTCTAAAAAGTTTGCCCTTCCTTAGTTATTGTGTGAATGTGTATACTCAGATATTAGGGATCTCTGCAGTATTGCTTTTCTCTATTGGATCTGTTTGTATTCAGAAGATTTTTATCCCAGTAGAAGAGGGAATGTATTTTTCCAATATAAGCTGAACCTTAACTTCTGAACAAATAATACATTCATGGGGTTAAATTCAAAAGGTATAAGTAGATACGTAGTGATAAATCTCTCTTCCACACCCAGTTTCTCTCCCTGGAAGCACCACATGTTATTAGTAGACTGTGTATCTTGCTAGAGAATTTTATGTACACACAAGCAAATATGTGAATATGTTCTTTTGTGTGTGTGTGTGTGTTTTCTTTTGAATAAAATGAGAAGCCTTTAAATTCCAGTCAGAAAAAGGAGAGCTACTTATCTCATTCTTATTATTTCCAGCACTAGCTTGGTGTCAGGCTCATACTAAATAAATGGTGAATAAATTGGGTTGAACAAGGAAGCAGAGTAATTATTCATTGTTGTTCACTGCTGGACTCAGATCTCTCCGCCCTTTGATTATCCTTACTTCAGATTTAGGCGCAGTTGATGGATTGACTTTTAACCTGTCCCTTGGAAACCAACTCTTGGTTGACCTGTCAGGAGCCAGTTCTAGTTTACTTGACTCTGCATTTTTTTTCTTTTAAATATATTTTTGTTAATTTCAGGGAGAGGAGAAAAAGATAGAATATTAGTGATGATAGAGAATCATTGATCGGCTGCCCCCTGCACACCCTGCACTGGGGATTGAGCCCACAACCTGGGCATGTGTGCCCTGACCAGGAATCAAACAGATCTCCTGGTTCATGGGTTGACGCTCAACCACTGAGCCACATCAGCTGGTTTTTTTGACTCTGCATTTTTCTGTTGCCTTGTCCTCTGGTAGAGTGTAGGCAAGTGGATTTGTCGGGTAGAGTTGAGAGAGCAGACCCCCTTTGGGGATGCCAGGGACTCTCAGCATTTAAGAAGGCAGCTATCTTGACCCACCCAGGTAGACCTGGAGAATGCCTTCTACACTCCAGGCCCTGCAGGGGCCCTTAAGTTTTTAAGGATAAACAACATACGTGGGCCCAGTTATATTGAGTAGATAGAGCACATACAGGGCAGAACTAATTCAAGGTGGCATTTAAAATAATTTGCTTTATTCAAGTTGAATAGCTCTCTTTTAGGAATCTGATTCGTACCCCTATGAGAATCAACATCCCCAGTGTTGCGCTAAGAAGTGTTGCACCTCACAGGTGTGTTGACGTGGGAGGAAAGGCTGAGAACCTTTGCCCTCCAAAAGGACTACTCAGGCACACTCTCCCGGGAATATGTTCGGGCCTTTCCGTTCCCCTCTTTTTTTCCCCCACAGGTGTGTATCTCCTAAACTCTAAGCACTCAGCTAAGCCACCTCTGAATTCCTGACCTATAGGAAACTCTAGGGTTCCCATGAGACTGCAACCAGGGGAGCAGTGGGCGGCTGCAGCTCGTCCTGGGCTAACCCCCAGAACCTGTCTGCTTCTCTCTGACTCTCCAGTGAGCTGACAGCAGCTATGCCTTGGCTCATTTCTTTCCCATAAGGTTTCTAGAGAGCCAAAGCATCCCTGCCTAGTCTCTCTCCTGTTGCTTCTTCTCTCGTAGGCCCTTCTTTGTTTCACTGTCCCCAGCTTTAATAAACGTATTCTCAAAATAAAGAATAAAAAACGAGCTACCCAAAGCAAGTATGTATTCATGCAACTTAAAATGACTAGTGAACTCCATCAAAGAAGATCATGCAGATCAAAGAAGGGCATTGTTGATACCAGTCATTTCATTTGTTTCTAACTCTTGTTTTACTGCCCTTGAATTCTTGCCATGGTCAAGAAGCGTACAAGTATATCTAATATATTACTTTGTTAGACTTGTGAGTATGATTTTAACGTGCTATTGCTTCCAGTAAGGGCAACAGCCATCATTTAAGAAAGTCTACTTTGCTAATTAATGTTGAATCCTTCTTGCTGGACTTATTACTGATTAAAAGTGTAACACCACCCTGGCCGGTGTGGTTCAGTTGTTTGAGCATGGTCCCATGCACCAAAAAGTTACTGGTTTGATTCCCGGTGGTTTGATTCCCGGTGGTTTGATTCTCGGTTAGGACTGATGCCAGGATTGCCTGCTCCATCCCCGGTAGGAGGCGTGCAGGAGGCAGCCGATTGATGTTTTGTTCTCACATCTGTTTTTCTTTCACTCTCCTTATCCCTTCCTCTTCAAAAATCAATAAAAAAAATTAAAAAAAAAATACCTCCTCAAATATATATGTATTTTAAAAAGTGTAACACCTAATTCGCTGAGATTCTGCCTGATTTTTTTATTAGGAAGCCTTAGCTGAGTGGGCAGGCTGGTTTCTCTCCAGCACTGGGCCCTGTGTTCCAGCCTGTGAAATAGAGGCACTGCTCTGAATAAGAAAATGTCTTTCTTCTTCCAGGAAATGTGACACCTGCTCACTATGATGAACAGCAGAACTTCTTTGCTCAGATAAAGGGCTACAAGCGATGCATTTTATTCCCTCCGGATCAGTTTGAGTGCCTCTACCCATATCCTGTTCATCATCCGTGTGACAGACAGAGCCAGGTGAGCTCCTGATCTGAGGAAGGTACAGAACTCCTTGGGGATCCAAGGTTGGCATGACTTTCCCCTTCCTTGTGGTGGTATGCTAGGTTTGGACAAACTCAGAGGATAATTTCACAGTGTAGCTCATACAGGGTGGGGCAAAAGTAGGTTTACAGTTGTTCATATGGAAAATAATACAGTAATTAATAATACAGGAATAAACTGTTTCACATACAACTCTAAACCTCCTTTTGTCCCACCCTGTATATTTCAGGCCTCTGTGGCAGTCCCCACATGCTTATAAATACAAACAGCCCTGTGGAGCTAATTCTGGAGGGCAGACCCTACGGTTGATGCTGATGGAGTCAGGTCACCACCCTGTTTGATTGGATTAATAGTTCATGGAACAAAATGTGATTATGTCTCTATTGGATTTAATAACTGTTTTGTCATGGATGCTCTCACTTTTTGATAAAAAGGAGGACGAATAGAGTTGAGATATGTCACTTAATGTCTTTTCTGGATCCAAGTGAGGTATATGGTTTACTTTGTGGCCAAACAAAGAGGTCCTTTTCTTAAATTGAAAGCTGCCTAGTTACTTCATGTAGGAATTTTGACTGGTTAGAAAGTGTGTCTGGGAGAAAGTTCCTGAAGGTTTGAGTGAAGGATGAGTCCTCATTCTTCATATCTGCAGGCCATGAGTAGGTTTTCTGACCTGCAAGCTGTGATGCTTGGCTTCTGACCTCAGGAGCCCCGAAGCCGAGGATTCTTTACCGCTCAGTATTGAGTGTGGCCTCTCTACATCATCCTCTGAGAAACTCTGTGTATTTTTAATGTATGCTGTGTTTTCTGCTGGATATAAATTTTAAGTCTTTTTTTTTTAAGGCATCTTTGTAGACTACCAGAGTAACTTTCACATAGTCCTTAATGATAAAAATTTGGTGATCAACTGATTTTTTTTTCTTTCTCTTGAACCTCTCAGGTGGACTTTGACAATCCTGACTACGAGAGGTTCCCCAATTTCCAGAACGTGGTTGGTTACGAAACAGTGGTTGGTCCTGGTGATGTTCTTTACATCCCAATGTACTGGTGAGGAGGGGGCTAGGACTGAGGACTTCTTGGGAGCTTCCTTTTCCATTCCCTGAAAAGCCTCATCTGTGTCCCTTGAGTTGTGACAGGATTGGTCTAATGTGATCTACAGGAAGGCTGGTATACCCAGATGTGAGCATCCTGAACGTGGGGGAGATCACAGCCCTATCTCTAGCCCCATGGTGTGTGTGAGAGGATGAGCACAAAGATCCTGTATTTTTATTTCTCTTCGCTGGACT